CCATACTCACTGTCTCTTTTATTCCTCAAATCTTAATTGAGCATTTACTCTTTAGTAATAACGATATTAACACTGGGATGCTAGGATAAACACTGGCTAGGACCCACCCTTATAATTTAACTGATAGGAGCACCAATTCTAAAATGACAATGGATATCTTATAATATTTAAATGACAAGTTATAGAAAGTATTAATAGATGAGTGTGTTGGGGGATCCATAAGCAGCTGTCAAGTGTAAATGCCCTGAAGCAAGGAAATTTGAGGCTTTGGGAAGTTGGAATTCCTTCAGTGATTGTTGATTTTAAGTTAATTTGGGTACAGTGAAAGATGAGCCCAAGGCAGGGTGGTGATTAAGGGTCAGATCTCCAGCTGTTGTGTCTCAGAGTTGAGACCCAAAAGCCTGGAGTGGAAAATTCCTTATCGTAGTTACTTTGGGATCATTGTTTAACCAGAGGCAAATCTCCACCTGGGGAAGAAATGGAAGTTGTTCTGCCATTGAACATAATTCACAACTGTTTTATGCAATTGTCTTCAAGGAGTTTTTGAGAGGTAACAGTGATACTTTCTTGAGATGAGATACCCCGAAACCACTGGGTTGGCACTCATTGCCCTGGCCAAGGAGAGCCCAAGATTACCCCATTTAAGGGATATTTTAAGTAGATTATTTTCAGTGTAATTTGAATTACATATTCTTGGAAATGCTTATATTTTTGATGGAGATGAAATTAATAAAAATAAGAGTGGTTTGGATGGAGGCGATGAATTGGTCCTTGTCAAAAATTCTAGGAATTTCAATTTGCAACAGCTGGAAAAGAAATGTCCACACTTATTATTAAAGAACACAACCTCTAAGGGGAAAATTTTTACTGAGGTTTACTTTATAAGTATCACTTTAATTGATCTAATATTTCATTTCCTATAGCATGTTTTGTTCTCTGACACACACTAATTAAAAAAAAAAACACGTGGGTGATGCTAGTAGGGTCAGATGTCAAAAGAGTTGAAGTAATAACTTCCTTTTATTGAAGACCTAAGGTATGCCAAGCACTGTGCCAAATATTTTTCATACATTGAATTCTTTCTAACAGTTTTTTTTTTTTTTTGAGACAGAGTCTTGCTCTGTCACTTGGGCTAGAATGCCATGGCGTCAGCCTAGCTCACAGCAACCTCAAGCTCCTGGGCTCAAGCGATTCTCCTGCCTCAGCCACCCGAGTAGCATGGATTACAGGCAGGCACCACCACGCCTAACTAATTTTTCTATTTTTAGTAGAAACGGGTTCTCGCGCTTGCTCAGGCTGTTCTCGAACTCCTGACCTCACGTGATCCTCCCGTCTTGGCCTCCCAGAGTGTTAGGATTACAGGCGTCAGCCACTGCTTCTGGCCAATCTAACAGTTTTTTTATGATGTGGGTTATCAAGCTTGCTCCTCAGA